GCACCTGCACGGCGGGACCGTGCTTCTGCCGCCGGAGCGCGCGCGCCAGGTCGTGCGCTTCCCTGGGCGCTCTTGGGGTCTTCCTTTGGCCAGGGTGGGGTTTGGCAAATACTTTGCGGAGCGCTGAAATGACCTTGCCATCTAGGTCGGACCCGGCCTGACCAACGGCCTCCAGGTCTTAGTGATCAGGAAAAGACCCAGTGGAAGGGTGGGGCTTTGGTGTTTGGGACTTCGGTCTCTTTGTGTTTGTTTTTGTTTGTTTGTTTGTTTGTTGTTGGTTTTGCGTGGAAAAGACTTAGTCCAGCAAAGAACGGTTCTGGGCGTCGCTCTTTGTTAGTTGCCGTTTGACCTCGGTCAGTTTACATGCCTTCTCCCAGCATAAGTCAACTTGTTAATAGAAAAAATAGGGGTTAATATGAGAATAAGGTAAAAGCATCTAGCAATCAACAAGATAAAGTAAGTGTTGGATCTTCCCGTTTTGTTCCTGGAATGACTTTTTCCATTCCGATCCCTCTCTTCCCCGCCAGTCCCAAAGGGCTACACAAAAGCGACTCCGTTTGTAACTCCAGGCGAAACTCCAAAGTGTCTGAATTAGGACACTTTCAGACTACAGCTCAATTTTTGTAATGGCCCTCAGAAGGCTCAATTATGTCCTTGCCATGCTGGGAACGTTGAAATAAATTCAGTATACACATCCCTTGGGCTCCATTTTCTTTTTTTTTTTTTGAGTTGGAGTCTCACTCGGTTGCCCAGACTGGAGTGCAGTGGCCGCTCCTGGCCACCGCAGCCTGGCTTGCTGGGCTCCGGCGATCCTTCCGCCTCAGCCTTCCGAGTAGCCGGAACTACAGGCACGCGCTACCACGCCTGGTTGATTTTTTGATTTATTGTAGAGATGAGGTCTCGCTGCCCAGGCGGGTCTCAAACCCGTGGGCTCAGGCAATCCACTCACCTCACTCACTTCAGCCTCCCAAAGGCCCGGGATTACAGGCTGAGCCACCGAGCCCGGCTTCCATTTTTTAAAATTCTTTTTACTCTATCAAAAAGGGGGAAAAGGCAACTTTGTAATTGATATAGCTAAATTCCTTGACCTATTTTGAGAAAAGTCTGCTTTTGTTACATGCAACTTAGAGGGCTACAGATACAGAAGTATGTGTTGTTGTTGTTGTTTTCTGTACTATCTATAAACATTTTGCAACTGAATTTGTGAAATTTTTTCTGTTCCATAAATGTTCTCAGTCCTGTGATATTTTCCTGAACCTCACCCCAAACACACACCTTATAATGGACTGACTACTTCTATCTGTCCTCCACATTTCTCTTTCCATACCTGTATTGGAGCATCAAATACCATATTACCTGACTTCCCTTATGAGCTTACTTGCCTGCCTTCTCTTCCAGATTAAAAGGTCATATACCTCATATCCTAGTGTCCTCCTATCCCAATGTCTAACACATTATTTGGTATATAATATTAATAAATGGATGGCATTCATGAATGGGATAGAGGCTCCAACAAATATTGAGTTAATAAATGGAGTCACCTAATGTTGTAATAAATGGATAGATGCATTTGAGGAATTCAAGGTTTCATGATAGATTAGGAGAGTATACTATAGTTCTTTCAAATGATATTTAATTTTATTTCATATTCAAATAATGACCAAACAGTCTCTCTTTTGGATAAATTGATTTTTAGGTTAATGACTCTTAAACTCCAAGTAATATGATGTGTCATTGGTAATTTATTGTTTTTAATGGTTAAAAGACTGAAATCTTTAAGTGATAATTCTGGGGGTATCATAAGTCTCATAAAACATTTATTTACATTAGTCTGTAATGGGTAGACCTAGGATTGGATGTAAAGTTTTAAAATACATCGATGGGGAGAAGGTTATTAATTTATGAAGAGATAATCAGTGGATCCTGCAAAGGGTGGATTTATTGCCATCAAAGCAAATGACAATATGAAGGGCCATGAAATTTCAGGGGTTTTTTTTTTTTTTTTTTAGAGCATTGATAATTTTAATTTTAGGACTTCATTAATTCTCTTCGCTTTTCCTAAAGTTTGTAGAAAATAAGAGTGTGGAGTTGTAGTTCTCCAGCAAGGAACAGCTTCAGTCCATCTAGAGAATAAGCAAACAACTACCTGGATATAGTCATATTATTCCTGAGATAACTGATGTAAAATACATTTGGCAGTTTTCAAAGGGGCCTTAAAGCCTTGGCCTCTGTCGGTGTCCTACCTTTAGTCTCACCTCGTTTATATTCTTGGCTAATAGAATGCACATTGGGAACACCCTCAGCAATCCCCCTACAATTGCTCCACTAAAGTTGGTTCCACATTATTGCCAATTTATCTCTGCTATTGTGTTTAATATCATGAAGCATTGGGGTTAAGATCAATTTATTATGGCTTCATTCTTACATAATAGCAAAGCATCTAAAAGCTTTCGTTATCGATTTCACAGATCTTTTACTGTCCTGTATCTTCTTGCTTTCACAAAGTCATATAGTTGGAATCATACAGTATCATATAGCTGGAATCATACAGTAGTTGGAATCATACAGTACAGTATCTCAAATTGGCTTCTTTCACTTATTAATGTGTGCTTATATTTCCTCTATGTTTTTTCATGACTTGAAAGCTCATTTCTTTTCAGTGCTGAATAATATTCCATTGCTTGGATGTACCACAGTTTATTTATCACTAGCCTACTGAAGGACATATTGGTTGCTTCTAAGTTTTGGCATATATTTGGACTATAAATAAAGCTAATATAAGTATATGTGTCCAGGTTTGTGTATGGCTATAAGTTTTCGGTTCCTTTGGGTAAGTATTATGGTACAAGATTGCTGGATCATTTAGTAAGAGAATGTTTAGCTTTGTAGGAAACTGCCAAACTTTCTTCCAAAGTGACTACCATTTTGCCTTCCCAGCAGCAATGAATGAGAGTTTATGTTGCTCCACATCCTCATGAACATTGGGTGTTGTCAGTGTTCTGGAATGTGGTCATTCTAATAGATGTGTAGTTATATCTCATTGTTTCAATTTGCATTCACCTAATGGCATATGATGTGGAGCATTTTTTCTTATGTTTATTTGTTATCTGTGTATCTTGATGAGGTGTCTGTTAAAGTCTTTGGTCCATTCAATCAGATTGTTTCCTTACTGTTGAGTTTTAAGAGGTCTTTGTATATTTTGGATAACAGTCCTTTATCGGATATGTATTTTACAAATATTTTCTCCCTGTCTATGGCTTGTCTTCTCATTCTCTTCAAGTGTCTATCACAAAGAAGAAATTTTTGAATTTATTGAAGTCGAGCCTTTCAAGTCTTTCTTTCATGGATGATTCCTCTGATGTTCTAAGAAGTCATCAGCAAATCCAAGTCATCTAGATTTTCTCCTATGTTATCTTTCTAAGAGTTTCATAGTTTTAAATTTAGGACTGTGAACCATTTTGAGTTAAATTTTGTGAGAGGTCTAGATTCATTCTTTTATATGTGGATGTCCAGTTGTTATAGCACCATTTGTTGGGGGGAAAAAAATCTTTTCTCCATTTGTTAAAGATCAGTTGACTATGTTGATGTGAGTCCATTTCCGGGCTCTCTGATCTGTTCCATTGATGATCTACATGTTCATTCTTTTGCCAATAACACATTTCTTGATTAGAGTAGCTTGATATTAGGTCTTAAATCAGGTAGTGTAGCAATTCTCCATCTTGATCTTTTGTTTTATTTTGTTTTGTTTTTTGAGTCAGAATCTGACTCTGTCACCCAGGCTGCTTTTGCTATTATGGGTTTTCATTTTCTTTTAGTTCAAAATATTTTAAAATTTATCTTGAGATTTATTTTTGACTCAAATGTTATTCAGAAGTGTGTTGTTTAATCTCCACATATTTTAGGATTTTTTTCAGCTATCATTGTGTTACTGATTTTTAGTTTAATTCCATTGTGGTCTGAGAGCAAACATTATATGATTTCCATTCTTTTAAAGGTGTGTTTTATGACCATAATGTGGTCTATCTTGATGAATGTTCCATGTATGTTTAAGAAGAATGTTAATTTTGCTGTTGTTGAATAAAGTAGTCTGCAGATGTCACCTGTATACAGATGACTGGTGGTGGTGTTGAGTTTCACTATATCCTTATTGATTTTCTGCCTACTGGAGCTGTTCATCTCTGATCTAGGGTGTTGAAGTCTCCAAATATAACTGTGTATTCATCTGTTTCTCCTTGTAATTCTATCAGTTTAAAAACTGTATAATTTGACTGTTGTCAGGCACACACACGTTAAAGAGTGTTATGTCTTCTTGGAGAATTGACCCCTTTATCATTATGTAATGCTCTTCTTTATTCCTCATAGTTCCCTTGCTTTGAAGTCTTCTGTGTCTGAAATTAATATACCTACTTCTGCTTTCTTTTGATTACATTAGTGTGCTGTATTTTCTCCATTCATTTACTTTTAATATATATACTTTACTATATATATGTCTTTATATTTAAAGTGAGTTTCTTATAGACAACATAAAATTAGGTCTCATATTTTGTACAGTTCTCTTGACCTTGGTCTCTTAATTGGTGCATTTAGACCACTGATGTTCAAAGTGATTAATGATATAGTTGGATTAATAGCTACCAAATTTGTTACTTTTTGTTTGTTGCCCTAGTTCTTTGTTCCTATTTATGTCTGACACCTTTTTCTGCCTTCTTTGATTTTAATTGAGCATTTTCATATTAGCTACACTACTTTTTTTTTACTTTTTTTATCCCTTACCCTAGAGTTTGCAATATACATTTACAAGCAATTCAATCCACTTTCAAATAATGCTATATGCACAGATAGTATGAGTACCTTTTAACAACAAAACAAATCTTAATACCTTCCTCTTGTTCCTTGTATAATTTGTCATTCATTTCACTTTAATATAAGCATATATAAGAATATAAGCGTACACATATGCATAAGCATGCATAG